TCTCACTTCTTTTTAAAGCTGTCGGATTGATTAACATAATTAAATGAAAGGGAGAGCAATTGAAAGCCAGAGCAATTATTCTAACTTGTAGTTAGTTGGCCTGTACATTTCTCAGAAAAAAGGGCTCTGGAGACCTGATGCCTTTGCATTGAAAGCTTGTCTTTATCCTAACTACATAGTTGGCCCAATAAAAGATATCACCCTAAGTAATCTTTGCCTCTAGCAGCATTTCTTATCTTTCCCATCCCCAAGAGATGGTCCAGTAGACATTATACCACTCACTTCACTAATCTTCCTTTCTAAATCTTTCAGTATTTATCTCAACAGCAAAGTGTTAACTTTGGATGCTAACTCAGAATCAGCAGATGCTACTTTCTTATCTGCATTTCCCATTGGTAAGTATAGGAATATATTTCAAGTTGTCATTGGGGTTTGGAAAAAAATCTCTGAAGTGTCCTTCCCACGAACGAGGCAGGAAAAAAAGGTGGAGATGCCGGGGATTGAACCCGGGGCCTCATACATGCGAAGCATGCGCTCTACCACTGAGCTACATCCCCGTCGAGGAAATGCTTTTGCTCAGTCAACATATCAAATTTGAGTCAGACACTGAAGTTACTCAGTCGGGTCTATCGTTCAATACAATCTGATCCGAAGCACTCTTACAGCAGACGAGGTGGCCGAGTGGTTAAGGCGATGGACTGCTAATCCATTGTGCTCTGCACGCGTGGGTTCGAATCCCATCCTCGTCGAAATTCACTCTCCCTTTTGCTTAGCTACTTCTAAAGCCACACAAATAATCTTTGCTTTTAAGGGGGCTATCTGAATCCAAAACAACAAGGCTCAGAGCAAGGAGCCAGTCGTTGAGGAAATAGACGTATAAAACACCAAAAAAACAAAATTAAAAAATCTGAATGTTTCACCCCTTCTGAAACATGCATCTGTTTAATCGTTTTATAGCTAAGATCTCGCTTTCCGGCCTTCTGCACGACATAGTAAGGCAGACGTCATATATCTAGCTTGAAACTGGATTTCTAAGCAATCCAATCGGTGCACCGTACATACCAGACGTACGGGTATAGGAATGCTTCTATTTATAATATAAAATTCCCATAAAAAATATAAGCATCATCACGCTACAAAAATCTAAGGATAGATGTGAAGCAGGCTTGAATAGGTGTCTCTGTGGCGCAATCGGTTAGCGCGTTCGGCTGTTAACCGAAAGGTTGGTGGTTCGAGCCCACCCAGGGACGGCATCCTTGCATTTTTTTTTCTAAAGCTAATTCAAGGACCGTCTTATAAATTTAGAAACAATACTGTCTTTATTCACGTTAAACAAATCTACCATTGAGGATTATCCCAGCACTTAGTGGCAGCAACATGTAGAAGGCGTTTTACAATTGTCCTGCAATTGCAGCTAAGGAAACCTTTCACTTAATTTTAACCCCGCTCTGTAAAATCGCCCCGGATACCTAAGACTGCACCTGCCCATTCATTTGCTTCATGTTCTCTTTAATTTGGAATTTACTAACCTCATATCCGATCTCCATGGAAATAAGTATCTCTAAATATAAACCAAGCCATCACTGGGGAACCCGAATGAAATCACTTGTCAAAACCAGGGATTATGAAAACAATTGCACTGTAGCCATTTCTTGGTCTCTGGCTCCATCGTGTGGCCCTTTGTATTTGCTGCAGTTTATTAAATTGCTGTCACATCTGAATGTTACTTTCTCCTGTGGAGCCATGAAAAATACTCATTGCCTCCTGGAAGAGCACACACTAACCGCTAATGCTTCCTCTGCCTGAAAGGGTATATGTACTGGAAAGCTCTCAAAAAATACTTTTTCCAATTATTTGCGTTGGTCTAATAAAATGTCAGATTTACACAAATAAATCGATATTGAACTCATTCCCAGAATAGGCCAGGGGCAGTGATGGGTGACCTTCCTTTTCTGTGGGTATCATCAAGGGAGATCATCAGCAAATAGGTAGAGCCCTTTTCTCCCCAGCACCACCTCGGGTAATGAGGAACAATGGTAATAAGCTGATGGAGAATAGGTTTAGGTTAGAGCTCAGAAGGCAATATTTTAGTTAGGGTGGCCAGAATCTGGAACCAACTGTCTCTAGTGGGTTATGGAATACAGAAAATCCCACACAACTTACTGATTCATTTGATGCACTGGCTGGGGGAGTTGTTAGTTGATTGCACGATTTCACAATGATTACACACTTAATTCATACAACACAATTTTATTTTAAAATTCTTTGCTATGCATATAACACTGCTTAGCTTTAAGAAATACCACAAACATTAAGAACACAATAACTACATATATCAGAAACAATGCTCTAAATGCACTTCCTTCCCAAACAATGCTATAAGAGTTAGTATTACAAAAACAACTACAGTTACAACTAAAAGTTAAATTTGAATCAATACTATTATTTTCATAATATACTTACAATCCTAGAATTCCGAGAAGCCAAACACCTAAATATGCTTTCATTCCTCAGTAGTACAATTTAATGGGTTGGCCTCAGTAGTACGGTTCAATGGGCTCACCTCAGCAACACGATTCAATGGGCTGGCCTCAATACTGTCCCCTTCCTTCAGTCCCTTTCGGGTGCTC